CTGCTGCCTTCTTGGAAAACATTCTCAGTTTCAAGAAATCAAGGTGTTTGTGTGCGTGCAATTAGTACTGAATACGGAAAAATGGCAAACTACAAGACGCTGTTTCCTAAACAGGTATTTTTGCCAAAGTTCCTGTGGAAAAGCAACATCACCTAGGTGTGCAAATTCTTTGATTGAGAAAAACTTAACTCCTTGAACTTTGGTAGGAAGAAACATTTAGCATAGGTTCCGTAATTTTGACAGTTGCCTTGCATTGAAATTGCTTAGCAAGAAACCGTTTAATTCCGAAGCAAGCTTCCTGGTCGTCTATTTCTGCATTTAGTGTAATCCGAACCTTCATGCAAAAATCAGTAGCCAAGGGAGCTTATCTCACTGTCTGTCTATTTCATTACTCAGGCCCTGCCAAAGCTCTCTGATGGTCACAGTGTGTGCCCTTCATTAAAGGTGGGCATTCTGATAGCCACAAGTCAGAGATCATGGTTTCATGGAAGCAGTAAAATATTTCTCGGTGAGAGAAATTTTTAAAAATTCTTTCTCGAGAATTTAAAAATTCTCAAATTCTAGAACATGGGAGGCAGAGGCAGAGGCAGGTGGGTTTCTGGGAGTCCAAGGCTGTCTCTCTGCCCCCCCTCACACACAGTGATATGTGGCACATCCTGTGTGTTTTATTCCATACTTTTATCTTGAGATGTGGTTTCCCTGTGTTGCACTGGCTGACCTTGGGCAGCTGGGAGATGTGTGTCACTATGTATGTGAATCTACCAGGAGAAAGGGGAGGTAGAAACAGGACTGTCTGTACTACCAAATACCTGCTTAATTACTTTGCAGTATTAAAAATTAAAGAATAATCCCAAATCCTCTTTATGTAATAGATATATTATTTTAATAGATACGTAGTAACAACTTAGTGTAGTTATTACTTTTTGTGTACATGTGTGCATGTATGTGTGTAGGTATGTATCGGTGTGGGCTCACACGTGTGTATGCAGAGGGCAAATGACTGTCTTGATTGCTCTCCATCTTATATACTGAGGCAGGTCTGTCATCCCAATAAAAAGCACATGGGCACACACCAGAAGGCTTTTGGCTCCAGGAAGGGACTCTTACCTTCATTTTCTGTATTGGCTGGCACGGAGTCCACCCCGAAAGGATGCCATGGCTGGAGGTCATCCAGGCTGAACTCCCCATTCACAGGAAGAAGCTCCACGGTGGTTTTCGTTTCGGTCAAAGACGGCATGAGAGCATCGTTTCCGTAACTGATTCTGGGTTCGCTGATCATGTTGGCCAAGACATCATCGGAGTAGTTCTGCTCTTTCTGAAGCAACTCATCTAGACAGAACCAGTTGTGTTCTTGGTTAATGTATGGTCACAGAGGCTGCCGCTCCAGCCGCGATCCCTGCTGACTATATGCTCTGTATGTGTGACAGGCTGTCATTTGGCACCACCTAGCATGCAAATTACAGCTAGCAACTGTCCAGGTGAGTTCTGACTCCATGGAGAATGGCAGTGGGCAGTTCTTAGCCTGTTGCTGATTCACTCCTCCAGAGGTGAAGACCTTAACAGCTAATGGCCCCTTCCTTTCCATAGACTCCACACGGATCCAATGATCATGAAGGAATCCATACCATGGAGAGCTAACATGCAGCACAGAAGCTGGGCAAGGTACAGTCCCTGAAGCAAAAACTCTCCTTTATCCCCATCTTATGTGAACAAGTGGAGGGGTGAGGAAAGTATTATAGATGGGCAGCCTGCTTAATTCAGGCATTACCCTTTGCTTTGAAAACACCTGCCTCCCCCCAAAGCAGTAGGAATAAAAACACGCATGTTGTCCTTCATGTTAAGTCTGCGGATAGGGAGCCTTGCTAATTCTCTGGGCGAATCTCCCATCTCTGCCTCATGCATCAGGCATGTGGCCTGAGCTGAAAGCTCCTGCCCGTCTTGTCTGTAGTGTCCATCTTCCAGGGAATTCCACTGGCAGTGCCCCCACCTTAAAACCTGAGCGGGGTGGGGGGAATCAACCTTGTGGACTATCGTTGATTTATCCAAAGTCTGAGTCTTCCCATCATACCTTTCACCGTTTATATAAAGTTTATTGGGGGGAAATGGAAAAATAGAACATAACTTTGTATTGACTGTAGCTGCTACCAAAGAAAACTGAAAGAAACCCAAACAACCCAACAACAAAAGACACCCCCTGACACAGAAGATTGTCATTCTCCTTTCATCTTACAAAAAGATCACCTGATCCTTTCTTTAGAATTAGAAGAAAAATAGAGTCCTCTAGATTGCACATGGTATTAATATTTGGTTAACTTAGGTATGTCATTACTCAGTCAGACCTGGGTCTAGAGTTTACTGAATGATATATTTCATGCCTATCACTACTTAATACCAACGATGAAGAAAAATCTGGACTTAAATTTGACTGTTACATTCTACTATCATCCTTTAAATTCTCTTTTAAGTTGACAAAAAAGTCAATTTACTGGAAAAATTAAAATTCTGTTCGAATGTACCCATTAAAACAATTTGAAGGGACAGCATTAAAGTATGTGATTAATATCTTCCTGTAAAGTCAGTTTTATTACAAGAGATTATTTTAAATGATAGAATCCCAAGCAAATTAGTCCTTTTGAAGTCTAATTTGAGTTATAATATATACCTACTCAGTGTGGCACTGATCTAAAATTCAATATTTGATGCTTGCAATGACCTTTCCCACACAGATAAAAAGCCCTCATTAGATTTGCTCTAGACTTTTTCATGTCTTACCAAGTCACAGGTAATAGCCAATAATGTAGCCGAAGTCTGACTTAATAAATGAAATGGGCATATCTTTTCTATAAATCTTATGCTTTGACTTAGCACCCTGAAGCCAAGACAGTCTGGAATAATTATCGGTGCCTACATGTCCGTTCTAAGGGAGCATCGCCAGCTAGGAGGGAGCTCTTGGCTGCTCACCCTCTCTAGGCATTGCCATCACTCACTTCCTGAACTTGGAACTTTTTCAGTGACTTGCTGTTTCTCTATAATGTCTCTGAATAACTTGGCCTCTCAAGGAAAAGGGGGAGGGGAGAGGACAGAGGGAGAAGAAGAGAGAAAGAGAAACCCCCGTGTCCTTAAGATTTTCTTCTTGTATATCTTTCTACTACTTTCCTCTGTGGAAACACCATCTATGCTTGAAAGCATAAGCATCTCCTACATGCAGACAGAACTGAAATGCTATTTCTTCATGTCTGACTTTTTCCTCTCATTCTACATATTCCAAGAATTTGGAAGGTATATTACCTCCTTCCCCACTCCCGGGTCCAAGAACTTGGTTCTCCTCTTCTCCCTCCTGCCTCCCATTCCACATTTAGTGCACGCAAAGTCTCAAACTCTTATCCATGACTCAAATTTAACACTCTTGATGACATTTGAACTCCAACTCTGAATTCCTTTATTTACCCTCTTTTCTGTGGTCTTCTCAATTACTTTTTTTGTTATGATCTGCTGCTGGCAAAAAGAACAACACGTTTGCCTTGGTAATCGTAGCGGAAGACTTACTGCTTGCTTACCATCTCAATGTCCTGCAGAATTTATGTACTGGAACTTATTCCCCACTGAAGTAACAGTGCATGGGGTTGTGGGGGCTTGGGATGTGAGAAGGTGGAGGAACTCAATGCTATGAATGGCGTAGGACTTGCTCTCTCTGGAGGGCACAGCAACAAGCCTCCACTTTGAATAGTGAAAGGTCAAGTTCTACTAGACCCTGAACCTTCCAGAATCTTCTCAGTCTTGTATTTAGGACCAGGAAAAATAAATTTTTATTTTTTATAAACTACCCAGGCACAGATACTGACAGTTGGTTTGTATTGTTGTTGTTATTGTTTTAGTTTAAGACAAGAGACTTGTGTCGTCCAGAATAGTTTCAAACTCTATGTAGACGAAGATATAACCTTGAACTCACAATTTCCCACCTCCCAAATTTGGAGACTACAGGCATGGACCACCACATCCGGCTCAGGTATTGTTAAAGCACCACAAACTGACTGCTGTTCACCTTACTCAACGTCATTTGACCCTGGACCTTTTTCAGATACTCCACCCAAAGTCAATGGGTCCTCATTTATACAATGATGTTCAATCTTGCATTGTAAAATCAGTACAAGATGCTGGAGTCCTTTAGTGTTCCTAGTCCCCTGTATATCTTCATGTGGTTTACAACTTCTTTCTGTCTCCATCACACCTCTTGAGCTATGGTATCAATGCAGTGTCTGTTTGCAGAGTAAATCAAACATAAGCAAGAACGCCTTCCATCAGAACGGCTGACTCACAGCCACATTAGCCCTACAGAGTGGGCACTGCCCCCCACCCTCACTCCAACAAGTATTTCTCAGACCAGAGCAGCTGGAGAGAGAGGAGACTCCACCTTACTCCTGGTAGTGAAAAGGCAGCACAGGGACTCACAACGGGGAAGTCTTCCATTTGGATACGTGTGTGCGCACAGGGTCCTGGGAATTTCAGGCAGAGATAACTGCAGCAACCTTTTTTGAGCTGAGGACGAGATATTTCTTCCAAATGGGCACAAGACAAGGAGCAGCACTGCTGTGAACTCCCCTGGCTCTCACAAAGTCCATGTGACGGGGATAAAGTCGTGGTTAGGAGCACTGCTGCTTTTGCACAGGACCCGAGTTCAATTCCCAGCACCCATACTATTCATAACCATCCACACCTCCAGTTCCAGGGATCTGATACCTTCTTCTGAACTCCACAGATACCAGACACATGTGGTGCGAATACACATATGCAGGCAAAACACTGAGACCCACACAGACACAACTAAATTCCTTCAAAACAAACAAACAAGCAAAAGCCCATTAGGAAACTCCTGTGAAAAGTTGAAATATTCAAGGAAAGTGATATTTTTAATTGAGGGGGAAAAAAACACTTAGCCTTTGTGCATAAAGTAGCGGAAATTGTTATTATTATCTTTATGTACCACAGGAAATCTAGAAATAACCACTTCTGATTATGCCATTTGGAACAAGGAACTCCCCAGCATGGTCTTGAGGGCAGGAAGCTGGATAAATTCGACAGAATTACCATTACCACTGCAGGGCTCTACTTTGTGATCATAAAATGTTCAAGACAGCCAGACCGCTCTGTGATTAAGGGCTCCGGACTTTATCATTGGCAAACGCACTGGCGCTGGGCAATTGTGCCTATGATCAACAGGGCAGGGACCAAGGTGACTGTCTCATTGCTCATTTCGAGCTTTGACTCTGTGGTGGGGCTAAACCACCAGAAGCCATCCTCTACTGCGCTGGTGGCTCGGATTATCCTTTTATCTGAATTAATTTACTATTTTATTACGGCACTTTGATGGCCTGTATTGAGGATCGCCGAAGCTTTGATGTCTAAGCTTGCTAATGACTGTATCAAGGTAAGAGACGACATTCGTTTTCCCAAGACTCCTTTTCCCATTCTTCTGGAGAGCTACTTGCAGTGAAGTATCTATTCTAATGCCCAGACACTTGAGTTTTGCAGGTTAAAGCATGAATATGTAATTGAGCCCAGTGATGGGAGTATTGCACTTACAGTTGAAGCAACGGAGATAAATTCAAACACAAACATGCAGAGAATCCCATAACTTTCCTCTTACAAAAATGCTTTGATGATCCATGTAGGCAAACTTCAAGTAAACAGGAAAGGGGGGCAGAGCAGGGGAGAGGAGTGGGGGGCGGGGCAGGGATACCACCACTAGCTATTGTGGAAAACATTCAAGATATTTCAAAGAAAGCAGCATCAAAAGATTCGAGAGTCGCAGTGATTTCATCTTCAAATGACCTAAAACCTTAAAGCTTGGTTTTGTAGATGCAAAAGATGGCCATGATTACTCATTTTTAGGGAAATTGACTCATGAATAAAAGGTCTGCTGGAGGAGGGAATACATGAACTCTACATAATCCGCCTCATAGTCTCTTTGTAACTATTAAATGACCTATCAGCAACATATCTTACAAACATTTAAGAGCTACCTTGTAGGCTTTCAGAAAATAAAACTCACAGACATTGAGTTAACTGGCTCTCTCTCTCTATACAAGCTTCACAATTACTGATAATTAATTACTGATTGCTGCCTTCAGAACATTGGACACACTTGGGAGGATTGTTTTTTTGTTTTTGTTCTTTTTTCATAGATGAGGAGGCTATCTTAGCCTTTAGCCCTGACAAACAAGGCCACTAAAGGCATAGCTTGGAGACCACTGAACAACTGAGTCCTCAGCCTTGGCACCCTTTTCTCCAGGACTGACCCTTTACTGATACTATAACCTTTCTATTTTGAGTCCTTGAATCCTAGTGGAGAAAAAAAAAACCCACTAACCTCCAACCTCTATCAAAATGGGAATTTCTTTTTAAGTTTGTGGAAGGGGATTCTCCTATAACCAATTTTTACCATGTAAATAGATACTTATCCGTCTGCCTGCTGCTCTGCACACCACACTGGGCCCCGCCCTCCGCCTCCAGGTGCACTGGAGGTTTCTGTGAAAGGGTTGTAATTTCTCCCCATCGAGAGGCTCCTCTATAAATCAGCCATCATCCGTTCTAGGCATCTTGCCCACACCAGAACTATGAGACCAGATTTAATTTTCCAGCCAGAGCCTGGGTATATCTGACTCTTGGCTCAGCCTGTTACTGTGATGCTGTCATTAATGTCTTTGTAGCCTCCGACATTCCTCAAAGCCCCATTCTTTATCCACAAGACTCCAGGTGCTTGGGCGACAGTCCTGTCATTTAAACCCAAGCTCCTCAGGTGTCCTTCGGGGATCTTGTTGGAAACACAGAACTGTGGCATGTGTTGCAACCCACGCTTATAATCTCAGCACTTGAAAGGCTGAGCGAGGGTTCCAAGCATAAGGCTTATCTGGGGTATACAGAAAGTTTGAGGATCTCCTGAGTTACATAGCAAGATTTTATCTCAAAGGGGAAGAGAAGAAATATACCTAGTTCCTCTCCGCCCCCCACCCCGCCCCAGATATAAGGAAGAAATTCTGCACACTGAGAGGACTCCCAAGTGATGTCATTTGTCGTTTGTGGTGCTGTCCGAGAGGGCCAGAGCCATAGGCCGTATACAAGCATTACTGCTTCACAAAAGACAGAGCAGTCTGCAAAACAGAATGTGAAAGCAAAGCACGGCTAAGAAGCACTGCGGCCAAAAGTCCTGCACTCCAAAACATCTTAGAGAGCCTTTCTCTTCAAACCCAACAGTCACTGCCTTTAAACTGACATTCACGGCCACATTTCTGCACCAGGATGCCCCGGGAAAACTAAGAACAGCCACGACTTCTTTCTTTGCCTAATAGTTTATTGAGCAGGAAGGGGGCAGTCCAGGGAAGTTTGGGGGAAGCAGGTTGTGTTGTGAAGTCTCAGAATAAGAACGCACACAGAAGAAGGCACCAGGCCACACTTTACTACTGGGCTCTTCCCAGATAGGAGGACTATTCCTGCACTGAGGACACTTTGCAGACCAGCCTGGCTTGGCTTAGCTTGGCTCCGTGGAGCAGCAGCTGATAGGGGTGACCTTGTGGTGTCCTTCTGTGATTACTGCATGTGATTGTGATGCTCTGGTGATGGACAAACCATAGCTATCTTCAATGCTGTGGCACTTGAGCCCTGTCATAACACCTTAGGAAAAAGACACTATCCTCTTGACACTGTCTATGTCTGTGGCCTTTATGATCACTCACTGGCTCATTGGGTAACCATAGCAACCCCCATTGAGAAAAGAATGCACAAACATCCATTCCGAGAAGGTTTAAAATGAACACATGAGGCATGCTAGCACATGCCTGTAATACTATCTCTTTGGAAGGCCAGAGTTGGAGGATCTTAAGTTCGACGCCAATCTGGTTATATAGTGAGTTCCAAGCCAGCATTAGGGATGGAGTGAGATTATGTCTCAACACAAATAATAAATCAATAGATATAGAGATAGGTAGATAGATGTGCAGTGACAGAACTAATATTATATTAGCAGCCTTTAGGAACCCAGTTCCTAAAGTGATCTTCTCGTCAGTCCATGAAAATTTCCATGCTATTTGGAAAGGGATAGATTTAATTATTATTATTATTGTCTTTCCCCACAAAAAAAAAAAGAAGAAGAAACTATGGTAGAAGAGGTCAATGTTGTGGTTCAAGAGATAGAGCGGCAATGCCAGGTGATAGTACTCATGTCTAAATTGAGGTTTATATTTGTTTAGAAGTTTCTTGGCCACAGAGTATTAAACAGGGCATGTTGGGTCCATTTACGGCAGGGAACTGTGCCTAGAGAGGAGTCACAGAAGGCTGTACATCACTTTTTAAACTATTCCTTATTGCAAGTGACATTTTCCTGAAATACCATCGTCTGGTCTAGACGGAAGTTTCAGAAGAAGCGCCTTTCCCTTGAAGACAAGTTTCCTTGTGGCTTTCAAACTCCTACATCAAACAGCTCAGTTCTGTTAGTCAGAAATCAAGATGAAAACACAGCCAGGCTCCTTGGCCTTGGAAAGGGGATTAAAAAGCTTCCTTTTCCACATTTATTGAAGGAACTTGTGCCAAGGTCCTGATCTTATTTCCAACCACTTTAGGGGGTCTTAATCCTCCTGGGATGTTAGCAACCTGAGGAGCTGACTGCAGAGTTTACATACTATAGTCATGGTCCTGAAAGAAAGTTTGTGGGTTAGAGTTCTAATTCTTCTATATAAGACATGAATGTACGGGCTTTAAAAATGAATGATAGAAAAGACTCTAGCTCTAAGGGGCCATAATATGTTTAACTTACTTAAAAAAATATTTTTCCAGGTGTGGTCTCTCTCTCTCTCACACATACACACACACACACACACACACACACACACACACACACACACAAGTCGAATACTTAGGAGGTGGAAGCTCCCAAGAATCAGGAGTTCAAGGTCAACCTGGGCTGTGTAGGAAGACATTATCTCATAGGTTTCAGTCTTTATCAAGGTATGCGTCTTCCTCTGGTCGGTTTCTTGTGAAACGGCTTGGTTTGGCTCTTAACACAAACAGATGCATGCAGTTTCTACAAACAAACCCCAACATATGTGATTTTCACATAGTAACTATCATAGGACAATTCTTTTATACAACAGTAAAGAAATGGCTGTTTCTTCACAGTCTAGGGGAAACACCAGCTGCCTTGGGTATTCGAGGGATGTGGTATCATTACGGCTAAGCGGAAGGCACTTCAGTGTAACTATTCTGTGCAATTCTCTCAATGCCGTTGCAGAAGCCCGACCTCTGTGACAAAGGCATATTTTCAGAGACTATGACTTCACTGTGGCTCTGCCAGAGTCTTGCAGGAAGGAAGCATAACGGCAACATTTCATTCAATGCAAATAATAGAGGAAAAAGGAACGAGAGCAATTAGCCATGCCTTCCATTTTAAATGTTCTCATCCTTTACAAGCAGATTCTCTTGGCTATTTCTCCATTCTCATTTTCTTATTTAATGTTTATGGCTGTAGCCGAAGAGAATGTAATTTTGAGGTTACTGAGGCATTACCTGTAGCACAGGTTTATAAGGCTCCAGGACACACAAAGATGGACTCATGAGGAAGCAGCACTTAATTTTCAGTTTATTTCAGCGCTCTTTGGCATACTTGGTATCATCATAAAATGAAAGATTAGTATATTTACAGCAGCATCACCTATTACTCTGAAAAAGGAATTTTCAGTGGGAACAGGAGAGTAGACTAAGGTATGAGAAAAACTCAAATGACAGTTTTCACTCTCCTTGTAGGTTCCAGAGTCAGACTGTCGGACTACTGTGCCCAGAGTCTCTTGCCTCCTTCTCTGCTGCTGGAGGGTGTTCTGGGCATCAGTCCCTGGGGCTCTCTCCTCTCCACCTGAGCTCAGAGACAAGTGGCTAGGAAGAAAGCCATCCTCTTTACTTCCAGAGAACACCAGGCCCTTGCATGTCTCTATGAAGATTTCTTTGAGGTGAGTGAGTCATATCCATAGGCCGGGAGTGACTCAGCTGCAGTGTGTATTCTCAGATACACAAGACACTGAAGGAGAAGGGAGACGGTGCTGCAGTGGTCACAGCAATGCTGCCGGAGCTGTGCAGCTACAGACAAATCTTCACTAGGGGCTCTCCCTGATTATTGTCCCTCATAGCTGTGTCCTTGTGTGCCTTACACAGATGTAGCTACCCAGTGGCCCCATCTCCCAAGGGTTCTGCCTCAAACCTGAAAGAGAACTCTCTGCCTGACCCGCAGAAGAACGCGGCATATGAGCAGAATAGGAATCACGAGGCTGTGCTGGGAAGAGAGCTCAGTAGAATGGATTCCAGTTGACGAGTGACTGACAGACTGCTATGGTCAGGAGGATGAAAAGAATGGCTCAGCAGAACTGGTGAGCCTGTGACAGAAAGGAAGATTTCAGCATCCAAAGACAATTTCATGGAGAGAGACTCAGAGATAGGCTGACAACTAGGCGGCCAGTGTGGAAAATATGCCTAAACACACACACCATCACAATGGAGGACGGTCTTCTTTCTCCACACACAAAACATCTCTGTCTGCATGACAGCTCATTTGAAGTGGTAATTTATGCGTATTTTAAGAACCCTAAACACATCCTTTATATTCTTTTGTACACTGGCCTGCTAGTCTTCAACACAATATTTCAAGCAATCCTAGCTATGGCAATAGCCCTTTCTCTCCTGCAGTAACTCACTCACAGTTTCCCTTAACAGTGCCCAGAGAGACCTGGAATCACCTAGGAGACCAGCCTCCAGGCACACTGGAGAGGGATTATTTAGATTAGGTTGGCTTCTAGGCATGCCTCTGAGGGACAGGTTAATGGAGGTAAGTAAACCTACCCTATCTGTGGAAAGCATCATTCTCTGGGCTCAGACTTCCACTGCCAGGAAGTCACTACCCTAACCTGAGCACCAGCAGCAGCTGCTTCCTTACTGTGTATGTGACATGACCGGCTACCTCAAGGTGTCTTGACTGCCTTGACTTGACGGACTGGGCCCTTGATCTGCAAGCCAAGACAAACCCTTTCTCCCTTAAGCTGCTCTGGTCAGGGTATCTTATCACAGGAAGTGGAGAAGTAAGACAGAGAAATGGCATGTACTAAGCATTAAGGGTCTGGCAGGGGATGGGATATGTCTGTCTTCTGTAAGGCATTTGTGGGGCACAGAAGTGAGCAGTGGAAAGGACTCAGGACTGTATTCCAGAACAAGGAATCTCTAACTACTTAACCTTAATTAGTGAGCTCATCTACTTATCCTTTAATTAATTAAGGAATTTAGTTTTTCACCTGGCAAACAATCTTATTATCTTCCAAATCTGATGTGGGATTCCCCTCTGTATGCTGTGAATACCATTGGTGGATAAAAAAACGGCTTGGAGCCTATAGCAGAGCAGAGCAGAACAGAGATAGGCAGGGAGAACTAGACTGAATGCTGGGAGAAGGAAGGCGGAGTCAGAGAGAAGTCATGGAGCCGCTGGAGACAGACATGGCAGAGCCTTGCCGATAGGCTATGAGCCTCGTGGTAAAATATAAAGTAATGGAAATGGGTTACATTAAGTTGTAAAAGCTAGCCAATGAGAAGTTAGAGCTAAGAGGCCAAGCAGTGATTTAATTAATACAGTTTCTGTGTTGTTATATTGGGAGTCTGGATGGCCAGGAAACGAACAAGCAGCCTCTTAGCACAGATCAGTGTCAGAAATAACTAACTCAATCTCTGTGCACTCACAGAACTCAAAGCTCATAGGAAAGAACACCCCTACACACACACACACACACACACACACACACACACACACACACACACACACACAAGTGCTAAGGATATCTTCCTTCTCAGTCACCTCTCCATGGTTTTTGGTCTCTGTTGAACCTGGAGCCTCATGGCCCCCTGTCTCCACCCTCCCTGGGCTGAGATTAAAGATCTGTGCTGTCATTCCAAGTTCTTACATGGAGCTGGGGGCTGAACTCACTCCCTCATGTTTCCGAAGTAAGCACTTACCTCACTAAAGCCAACTCTCCAGTCCTTAGATCAAAAACACTTCATTGAACAAAAACAGGGATTTTACCTGTTGTTTTCAAAACATGTTAGGGTAATGATCGTTGAGAGAGCATTTGCACTGGGTTAGGTATATGAACAGTACAGAAGAGGTACAGTAGGTACACAAGAAGATTCACATAGCTTCTATGCAAATACGAACAACTGTCAATCTAGATAAGGAACTTGAGCAGCCATGGATTCAGGCATTCCAGGCATGGGATGTTCTGGAATCCACCCCTAACTCCCAACACTGAGGGAATTCTGCTCAGTTCTTGGGAGATTATATTCTGATCTCTCCAAACTGCTTCTAATTTCTATACTTTCCAGCTCTCGTACAAGACCATGTAGGGCTCCGCTGAAAAAAAGCAATTCTGGAAACTTATTTATTTATTTTTGAAAAGGTTACCTTAAAATGCTGTTTTCATGCCCACACAGTTAACCTCTCCTCACCTCACCTAGCTCCCAAAATAGTTCAACTTGAACCAAGAGCCTGCCTCTAAACAAACACTATTAAAGTGTGATCATCTTCAGGAACATGTAATTAATTCACTTAGAAGTTCGTGCCTCATAATTACCAGAGCACACCAGTAGCCCTCTGAAAATTGCATGTGCTTTATGTAGTCCTTGTCTGTGTGCACTGTAAACTTCAACAATAAATTGAAAAATGATGCACATTCCTGTGTATTTATACACATCTTTTCATCTTCCCAGTGCGGTAAACATTAATTAACCCTGGCTAATTAACCCAGCCGCCGTTTACAGATCCACTCCTTTATCAGCCTCATGTGAACGCGTAGCACTTAGAACCTTTCAGAATTTGATACCCATTGAATACGGAAATTAATTTTTCTTTCCATTTAGAGTGCAAAGATTCAGGACATGCAGTGCTTGATTCAAACGTGGCAGTATTTGGGACAGTATCTTCAGAGTCTTAGAAGTCGAGGGAAGGCAAACAGGCCGCCTGCTACTAGGTGACACGCTCCCCCTACCTCACACACACACTGCATCTGAGACTGTGACCTTATTTGGTAATTGGGTCTTTGCAGATGTAATCGATTTAAGGTGATGCCAGGGGCAGAACGTCTCCCTGACTATTGTCATATTAGCAAAGACACAGCAACAGAATTGAGAGAGGAAGTGTGAGGTGGGGACTCAGGGCCATCTCTACAACCGAAAGAACAGGCAAGCATCTCGGGCAGCTCCAGAAGCAAGAAAAACACTGGAACAGATTGTCCTGCAGTCTGCAGAGGGGTGTGGCCTGTCAACATTTTTCTTTGGGACTTCTGGCATTCAGCATGGTGACAGAATACAGTCCTCACAGTTTTCTGCCATCCGGATTATGTTAACTGGTGACTCTGCTGAGGCACAGTAACTGCTGATGGCACAATCCTCCTGGCTAAAGTGACACTGGAGGAGAAGGTGACTTTACAGTGAGTTTCCCTCAAGTCTGTGGATGTAGAGAGAGGGACATGTTCGGAGGTAGAATGTTGGGATCTGAGAGTCTAATCTGGCTATATGGGAGCAGCTGTCTTCCCTCCATATGTCAGAAAGACTTAAAGGCAAACCTCTTCTTTTCAGCCCTGTTCTCTTTCACCGGCTTCTGAAGAGAATGCCCATTTCCTCTCCTGACCCACACCTCTTATCCTGATAAGACCCCAAGAACTTTTGATGCCTGTGTCAGCCCTTCAATTCAGCCAGGATGTGGAGTGGCTTCGTTCATGTGCCCTGTAAACACAGAGGTTACATCACTTCCTCCCTAGGAAGCCAGAGAAGCTGAGCTGTGCCTGGCACTAGACATGAGGTGAATACCAGGCAAGTTTCAGATTTTACTAAATTCCGAGCGATGACGCCAGCCCTGCAGAGAGGCCAGGACAGAGAATGGCACTCATGCCCTGCGGCTCCACATAGAGAAGTCAGGACAGCTGGAGGAATCCATACAATTTAGCCTGTCAGTTTCCGTTTAGGGCTTGCCCTGAACAAATTCACGGTTTCAATCAGTCTAAAAGTGATGATGTTGTTTTTATACGGTGACTGGAAGAGAATGCTGCCTGGAGTGAGTGCTTAGCAGCATCTGCACTGTTAGCGATCCTCTGGCTCCCTACACGGGAAATGAGGGCCGCAATATTTGTTCTGGATTTGAAAAAGAGACTACCAACTTGAGACTGGGGAAGTGGAGAAGGGGATTGAGGAAGGGAAGCGGAGAGGGGCTGGAGAGCAGAAATGGGGGGAGTGACGTAATCTTATTTCAACGCAAAACATCAAAAGATTAAAAAGTTAGAGTGCTAATGTGTTTTGTGGCTTCTGTGAGTAGTTTTAGAATAAAGAACACATGTGCCGTACGTAGGCAAAGGGGGAAGAGCCACAGAGAGGCAGCAGAATAGATCTGCCCAAAAGACTGACTCAGCCAGGTGCTACGGGCTGAGTGCTGGATCCCCCGTGAAATACACTTAAACCTTATTCCTTAAGGCAAACGTCCTGAGAAGGGCATGTGAAGGTGGGAACTGATGTTACATGTTGTCACAAGGGTGACTGGGATGCTGACCCAGAAGGACAGCTGTCCTTGTGAGAAGCTGGGGAAACACGAGAGAGGTTCCTTTTTTAGAGAAAGAAATGTTATGGGAAGAAACATCGAGGTAGCATAGGAAAGCAACCCATGGAAGGAGGACGACCTCCCCTCCAGGGTGGCCTCACACACAGAAAAATCACGTGATCTTCTAATACGGGAGAAGGTGGGTGCTACATATATGATCCAAACAGGCTCCAGAAGGACTCTGAGTGCTTGGAGCTGCTGCCACCTGTGCCCGGCTCTCCAGCCCAGTCACATCCTGGAAATGACTTTATTAACAAACCATGTCTATTTCTATCACTACCCCTGTGTCCATGGGCCGGATCTTTGTTCCCAGCACACCTGGAACTCTCTGTGGGAATCCTCTGGACTTTTTGGATCCTGGCTCACAGCATGCAGAAGCCACAGAGGCCTTCCTAAAAGGCAGCCTGTTGGCTCCATGATCTTGAACTTCCAAGTTCCAAAACTACGAGAAAATTAACTTTTAAGTTATTTGAACTGTAATGTTTTCTTGAGACAGCATCTCATGATGTAGCCCAGGTTTGCCCAGAACCCAGGATCTTCCTGCTTCAATATCCTGAGTGGCTGACATTATAAGTGCGTGCCCCCAACCCAAGCTTGAGGCTGCTTATTTCATAACTGAGTATCAGAGAATGAGTAATTTATAAAAAGGGGCTTCTTTAACTACTGTCTACTGCTTTCTTGGTGTACAAAAACAAGACGAAAAAAATCCTTGTTTTCTTTCTAATATTAAAAAAAGAGAAAGGGTCCTTTGATTCCTGAAGGTAGATCTGGCAAGGGACCTCCAGCTCGGTCATCGCAGAACAGAGGCTTCAATGGTGAGGCAGGGCAAACTTGTATATAAAGATCTTCTCAGCTACATGGAGCACCCATCTAATCCTGATTGCCGCCCAAAGGTCCCACTCCAAGACACTCAGCATATACTGATTACGGGGATTCTGAAAAGAATATGTATGTATGTATGTATGTATGTATGTGCATATATACATACATATCTTTATATGCATACATATGTATATGTACGTGTATATATGGGATTCTGAAAAGAAGGTTCATTGAACCTTCCACAAGGTCGAGTAGCTGACGAAAGCCGCCGCAGAAACTAGGAGAAGTTTGGAATGTGGAAAGTCCAGTCAATTATCTTGGGTCCTCCTTAGTCACCGTAGCAGCCAGTTACTGCCTTCCTCTAGGCCTGACCCAATGCAGTTTTGACCATTAGGTAAATCCCTTGGAATGCATGAACAGACACTTAGTTTCCAACCAACCAAAAAGCTAAGAATGTCGTCAGCATCTGCGACCTATAGTTGAGCTTTCTTTGCCTTCCTTCACCTCACCCAACTGATGTTTCTATCAATGCATTTAAAAAGATTTAAAAAAAAGTGTCTTGATTTGTGGCTTTGTTTAGTTACTTCACAACACTGCTCCAATGCTGGAAGATGGAATTTGAAGTAATCTAAGTCTGTGTTCCAGTCCATTGGCAGGCATGTTTGGCTTTAGAATAAATTATCTCTGAAGAGGTGAGAAGTGGTTTTTTTTTTCTGATTTTCTTTTCTTCTTCTTTTTTTCAGTGTGTGTGTGTGTGTGTGTGTGTGTGTGTGTGTGTGTGTGTTTTGTGATTTAGCTTACACCTGAGGCTTGGAGGAGGCAAACACACCCATACACACACACACACACACACACACACACACACACACACACACGGACTCTAACAGTAGCCCGGGTCACTAATGCACCTATCTAGCCATACAGAGGCAAAAGAAAAAGCAGAGATCTAAACGACATTTCTAAGGGATTCCATTTCCTTTCTTTGAGTTCGTGAAGAGATGACAGTTGAAGGTGAGGCTAAATTAAATCTGCTCACTCTGAGATGCAAGAAGAAGGCTTTGAGATTTTTTCCCCCGTTTCATTTCCTTTGAGACAGTCTTAATACATAGCCTATGGTGCTCTGGACTTCCTTCTGTTCTCGAGTTGGCTTTGAACTTGGGAACTACTAGGATTATAGGCATGTGCCTGAGTTATTGTTCAGACCTTTCATGGAGAAGGCAAGGAAATGGTCTTATTTTTTACTGCCCCGTTCCCGAGGGCTCCACTGCTACTGCCATTTTTTTTTTTCATAGGTGAAGGGAAATTCCTAATGATGGCTTCCCTACTGATCTGGGACACATCCAATCAGGTACTCTCTGTCTTTGGGATAAAAGAAGAACTGGAATTTGATTTCTAGTCCATGCCACGCTAGGAAACACTTAATGACAGGGGTTTACAGGGTTCTCCTTTGTTTTCTGGAACATACACATGTGACTGCTTAACACAGTGAGCTGCCTCTTGGGAACTGACATCTAGTGCCGGCAGTCTGAACACTTTTATTATTATTCTTTCGTTGTCCATTAGCTGACACAAGTTGTCCAAGATGCAGATGATTATCTGCATCTGGCAACCCTGAGTACACCACTAATATTCTCTTTTGGCTCTTATTAAATTAGCATCATTTTGGATTTGAAGGTCGTCTATAAGGATGATTTCTATGGCGGAATCAGTGATAGAAAGTGAAGAATCGGGAGCAGGAAAGGAAAATGACCTTCGAAAGTGACGAGCAGGCTCATAATTTCTGAAGAGCTAGGAAAGGTCTTAGCGTGAAGCCTGCTCCATGCTTGTACTGTTTGTTTATTCTCCTTAGAGAGCAGTAATTATAGTTAATAAGCAGTTAGAGCTGGGGGAGCGCTCAGAAGGTAAGGAAGGGCCTGAGTTCTGTGGCCAGAACACACACACACACACACACACACACACACACACACACGACCTGAGTTCTATAGCCACTCCTCCCCAACACTCACAGAGGGTGAGAGAGAGAGAGAGAGAGAGAGAGAGAGAGAGAGAGAGAGAGGCAGCTGTGTGTGATGTCATGTTTATCATCTCGGAATGGGAACAGGAGGATCCCTAGGGCACCCTGGTCAGTCAGTCTAGTCTACTTGGTGAGGTCCAGACCAGCGAGAGATCTTTCCTCAAGCAGAAGGAGGGAAGAGCCTAGGGGACAAGCCTGATGTTGTCTTCTGGCCTGTACCTGTACACATGCACACATATACCTGCACATACGTGAACACACAACAAAAACAAGGAGAAAAGCAGTTTGTGCCAATTGCTTGAATAAATTAAACACAACATCAATACTGTGCCACCTTACAAAGCTATACTCAAACATTTCTCTGTAGCATTTTATGCAAAAGCCTGTTGGAAATACACGTGTTCTTTGATGATAGGCATACAGACGATGACCCTTTGGAAAACATTCCTCCTCAAACACGCACTTGCTGCACCTAGTCCACTGAGCAGCGAAGCTCCAGAGCGGGCAGAGTGGACTGTTGCTGATCACCCTGTGGATCATGTGAAGGACTGCTGTATAGTTTTATCTGAGAGGCGGCAACCTCAATTAAGAAAATACTTCCATAAGATCAGGCCATATGCAGGCCTGTAGGGCATTTTCTTAATTAGTGATGATGGGGGAAGGTCCAGCCCATTGTGGGTAGGACCATCCCTGGGCAGGTGGTCCCCTGCTCTATAAGAGAGCAGGCTGAGCAAGCCACGAGGAGCAAGCCGGTGCACAGCACTTCTCTATGGGCTCTGTGTCAGCTCCTGCCTTCAGGTTCTGGCCCTTTTGGGGTTCCTGTTCTGACTTCCTTCAGTGATGAACAGTGGTGTGGAAGAACAATCCAGATAAAGACTTTCCTCCTCAAGTTGCATTGGTCATGGTGTTTCAGCACAACAGTAGTAACGCTGCTGAAGACAAGGGCTAAAAGCTGCCACTCAGTGCTGCACGCTGGTACCCGGGGAAGGATTGCAGCTCCAAACCCGAGGTGCGGATTCTAATGACATGCACCACTTTCTCCTCAGCACAAAGGCAGAAAATCCTGGAACTCAGAGCACTGTAACCCAAAGACCGGCAAGGCTGGTAGAAATTCACATGGCCAACAAATTAGGGTAAATTCACATGGCCTTTTAATTTTATGTCAAAATATATACACAAATATTACCCCCAATTTTCCACAAAACTTGTTTTCTTACTACCACATATAAATATGGGTTCTAGAAATTTTGAATTTTTAGAGTCACTTGTGGTAGAAAATACGTGGATTTCTGTGAGTGTGAGGTAGAGTTCAAGTTCCTGTATTTTAAACAAGAATGCCTCCAAATTACACTTGACTTGGTACCAAGCATGTGTGGAGACACAATGACCTCCAGCAATTCCCACAGAGACTTTTCTTCCTAAGCGGCTTCTACATGAGACTTTTGGGTCCAAGTATTTACAGCAACTGAACTAAGATCCTAAAAAGTATAGATACTGTTTGCTGTCTGGAGGGTGAGGAACAGACTTGCAGAGATGGTGTGGCAAGATGAACACTCCAGTAACCAGGACCTGACAGTTTATGATACTTGCTTCAACTAATGTCAAGTTCTGGAAACACAGCCATATTTGAACACTTAGGTGTTTAAAGAGGGCTCCCAATTCTGCCTGGCTATTTTACTCTAAAGGAAAAAGCATCTCATTTATTCACACCCCAGGTATTTAAATACTCACTTTG